AATTAGAGGTTTTTTCAACATTAAAACAATATTTTCTGATGGATTTTTGAGATGCATTTGTAATTCTACATTTTAAGGTTACAACTTTATATAAACTTTTTTCTTTATTAAATATCATTCATTATGCCAAAACATCCACACAAATTAGAGAGAAACCACCTCAAGTTTTAAGTTTCAAAGAGAGAAACTATATCAAATTTTAGAGAAAGAAACTACTAAAATTTTTAGAGAGAGAAACTATCTCAAATTTTTTAGAGATAGAAACTATATTAAATTTTAAGTTTTAGAGAGAAAGTATATTAAAATTTTAGAAAGAGAAACTATATCACATTTTAGATAGAGAAATTACCTAAAATTTTTAGAGAGAGAATCCAAATTATAAATTTTAGATGAAGAAAGTATCTTAAAATTTTAGAGAAATAAAATATATCAAATTCTAGAGAGAGAAATTGCCTCAATTTTTTAAAAAGAAACTATTTCAAGAATTTTAGAAAGCATAACAATATCAAATTTGAATTTTTAAAAAGTAAAATTATCTTAAAACTTTAGAGAGAGCAACAAATCAAATTTTAGAGAGAAAAATTACTTGAAAATTTTTAGAAAGAGAAATTGCCTCAAAAAATTTAGAGAGAGAAAGTAGATCAAATTTTAAGTTTTAGATAGAGAAAGTATCTCAACATTTAATAGAGAGAAACTATATCAAATTTTAAAGAGAGAACCTATCCAAAATTTTTAGAGAGTGAAACTCTATAAATTTTCAAGAGAGAAACTGCCTAAAAATTTTTAGAGACAAAAATATCAAAAAATTCTTAGTGGAAGAAACTATCTCAAAATTTCAAGTTTTAGAAAGAGAAACTACATTAAAATTTTAGAGATAGAAACCATATCAAATTTTAGAGAGAGACTATCTAAAAAAAATTAGGGAGAGAAACTATCTCAAAATTTTAAGTTTTAGAAAGAGAAAGTACATTAAAATTTTAGCGATAGAAACCATATCAAATTTTAGAGAGAGACTATAAAAAATTAGGGAGAGAAACTATCTCAAAATATTTAGAGAGAGAAACTATCTTAAATTTCAAGTTTTAGAGAGAGAAATTATATTAAAATTTTAAAGAGAAAAAATACCTAAATATTTAGAAAGAGAAACTATCTCAAAATTTTTAAAGGAAAATTATCTCAAATTTTAAGCTTTAGAGAGATAGAGTATCTTAAAATTTTAGAGAGATAAACTATATCAAATTTTAGAGAGATAAACTATATCAAATTTTAGATAGAGAAACTACTTAATTTTTTTTAGAGTAACTATCTTAAAATTTTAGAGAGAGAAACTATCTTAAATTTTAAGTTTTAGAGAGAGAAACTATATCAAAATTTAGAGAGAAGCAACCTAAAACTTTTAGAGAGAGAACTATCTAAAAAAATTTAGAGAGAGAAAATACATCAAATTTGAAGTTTTAAAGAGAAAGTATCTTAAAACTTTAGAGAGTGAAACTATATCAAGTTTTAGAGAGAGAAATTACCTAAAAAAAAATTTAGAGAGAGAAACTATCTCAAAATATTTAGAAAAATTTTCTCAAATTTTAAGTTTTAGAGAGGAAAAATAAATTAGAGTCCAGTGAGAGAAACTATATCAAATTTTGGAAAGAGAAACTACTTGAAAAATGTTTGAGATAGAAACTATCTCAAAAATTTTAGAGACATAAAATTTCAAATTGAAATTTTAAATTTTTAGAGAAAGAAACTATATCAAATTTAAAGTTTTAGAAAGTTTTCTCTGTTCAGATAGTTTCTCTCAAAAAAAATTTTAAGTAGTTTATCTCTATAAAATTTGGTATAGTATCTTTCTGTAAAATTTTGGTAAATTTTTTTATAATGAAAATTTTTTATATATGGTATTGCATATCAAATATGTGTAATGTAATTTTCACATGAAAATATTTTGCATGAAAATGTTTCTTCCCTGCCAAATATATCCTAAATAATGTAAACCCAAGTTACGCAAATAGATAACCCAAACAAAGAATTTGCAAAAACACAGTATTATTTATAAGCTATCCAAACAATCATGTCTCAATAACCAGGTTTTTCCCTGCCAAATATATCTTATATAATGTAAACCCAAACAATCATGTCTCAATAACCAGGTTTTTCCCTGCCAAATATATCCTATATAATGTAAACCCAAGTTACGCAAATAGATAACCCAAACAAAGAATTTGCAAAAACACAGTATTATTTATAAGCTATCCAAACAATCATGTCTCAATAACCAGGTTTTGGCATAATTAGGATTTGTATAACCATGTTATGATCCAAAACATGGCTTTGTTTAGCCTATGATCCAAACGAGGCCTAAAAGAAACGTTCTCCCAAATAAAAGCATCAGGTCCACCAAGTGCAAGCATTTCTCATGATTTTTGCATGCGAACTTACGTCTACTTCCCAATCTTTAAAGGGTGGGGCTTGCATTAGATGTCCAGGCGCACCTCTGCGGTGTCGTAAACCTTATAATGAAAATTCATGTTGAACTTTGATTATAAAATTTAAAATTTTAAAAATAGTGCAAATCCGACAAATCTACAAACAAGTGAAAATCTTGAAAATAGACAATCCAAACAAATTGTAACAAGATTCATTATTTTTAAGCCTTGAATTTTGTTTTCCTTCTTTATATCCATGACCAAGGTCGAGATGATCCATTGACAGGTTTTCTAACTTCGGAACGCCCTTTTTTATTGCGTTTTTCAAATACACCTAGGTTGCAACCTGATATAAACTTCTCTCTCTCATACACAACATCTACACACACAGCAGAATTAAAAGGACTATTATTTTGAACATTTTTATTACTTTTCCCTCTCTCTCTCGTACACAGTATCTACACACAAGGCAGAATAAAAAGGCGTATTATGTTTTGTCATACATGTTTTCATCTAAATCCAAAAATAATTTTGGCAAAGAAATCCATGCCCACCACTTCTTCCTTTTCCTCACTTTTTCCTTCTTCTTCTTCTTCCCATGCTTCCATCCTGTTTAGCTAGCTGATATAGTTTTTTATCCACCCACTCAAAACAACATCTTCTCCCCTTCTTCCAAACCAGTAGAGGTCCACAAACTAGGCCACCTCCCATTACAAAGCCTAGGCCACACCCCAAAACAAACTCCAATGAATGGTCCTTCGCCTCCTCATTACTTGTGCTATTTTTCTGCTCTTGTTCACAAGCCACATCTAGTTCACAAGCCACATCTAATGGATATCCACAGAGCCCTGGGTTATTGGCAAAAGAAGCAGCATTGAAGGTTTGAAACTGGTATCCCTTGGGTATCGTTCCTGAGAGATTGTTCCAAGACAGGTTTACAACTGAAAGGAAACTAAGCGTGCTAAGCCCCAAGGGTATGCTCCCTGAGAGATGGTTCTTTGAAAGATCCAAGGATTCGAGCTGTCTCAGGTCTCCAATAGAATCAGGTATAGGACCCGTCAGAGTGTTTCTTGACATATTCAGTACACGGAGGCCCTTGAGCCCTCCTATTTGGCTTGGTATCACCCCTACGAATGCATTGTTGGAAATATCAATGGCTGTTAGAATTGTCAAGATCTTCTGAAACTCCAAATTCTGACCTTTCATTGTAACTGTGACCATATCAAGATAATACAAGTTGCTTAGATAGAGGAACCCATATTGTAGAATTTGGGTTGAGTTGGTTTGTGACTCTTCTTGCATGGCCTTCCAGTTTTGAAAGAATTCGTTAGGCATGGGCCCGGAGAAGTTGTTGCCTGATAGGTCCAAGATTTGAAGTGCAGAGAAACCAGGGGACCCAGTATCTGAAATGGATCCATGAAGCTGGTTTGATCTCAGAACCAGGACTCGAAGGTGGGTTAAGGAACCTAGTGACGAGGGAAAGGTCCCAGAAAAATTGTTGTTACCCAAGTCAAGTAGCTCCAGGTTGCTGCAATTGCTTAGTGAATGGGGGACTTCACCTTGTAACTGGTTTCCATTGAAATTTAGTGTTCGAAGGTCACTGCTGGATCTGAACCTATCTGGAATTGAGCCCTGCAGCATGTTCTCCCTTAGGTTCAGCACGATCAGGCTGTCTATTGTGAAGAGGCACTCCGGAATCGAGCCAATGAGGTTGTTATGAGAAAGGTCGAGGACCTGCAGATTCTTGCCGTTGCATAAAGAGGAAGGAATTTTTCCAGAAAGATTGTTATTAGAAAGTGAGAGAAAGATGGAGAAATTCAGGTAAATGCCAATGCTTTCGGGGATGCTCGACCTGAAAAGGTTGTTGGAGTAATCCAAAAAACTGGCAGCTGAGGGGAGAAAGGGGGGACCTGAAAAGTGGTTTGAATGTAGGTCAAGGGCCAAGGAACTGGAGGAGGGATTGGCCAGTTGCCCTAGTTCTTGGAGCTGGTTTTTAGAAAGATTGAGTTGATCGAGACTCAACTTCCATAACCAGTTGGGTATTTCCCCTTCAAGTAGGTTATCAGAAAGGTCCAAATCCTTTAATCTCTCTTGGGTTTTAATGAAATCGGGGAACTTGGTTATGTTGCATGACCGCAATTTCAGTGTGGATAAGTGAGGGAATGATTCATTGCCATTGCTGCTATTCAAAGATCTGAATTCAATAACTAAGTTGTTTCGTGATAGGTCGAGATTGGAAAGGTTCACACTCTTTGGGAGGAATGACTCAAGGTGAAGGGTGCCATTGAACTTGTTGGAGGAGAGAATCAGGACTTTCAGGTTAGAGATAGAAAATATGGAACCAGGGATCTCTCCATTCAAGCCATTTTCGCTGAGGTCCAAGGTTTCCAACTTGGATTGAGGGGCTTGGAAATCAGGGACAGAAGAATCCAGGCCGTTCTCGCTTAGGTCTAGGACTTTTAGAGATGGAAGAGTGAAGAGAGAGGAAGGAATTGAACCGATAAGCTGGTTGTTCTTGAGGTTGAGTCTCGTTAAGTTTCGAAGCTCACCGAGAGATGTTGGGATCGAGCCTGTCAATAAATTGTGAGAGAGATCGATCTCTTGTATTCGCTGAGAACCGAATGAAGGAATTCCACCACTTAGCTTGTTAAAAGAGAGATCGACACTGAGCAGCTCTGCGATGTTAGAGAGTGTAACTGGGATTGAACCATTGAAACTGCAGTCGTTCAATTCTAATTGGATCAAAGACCCCAGGTTATCAATGGAATCTGGCAAAGGGCCCAAGAAGTTAGTGTTTGAGACCAACAGGTTCTTAATTGGGCTATTGGGGGGAAAATATGGGAAATATCCGGAGAGGCGTCTGTTGTAGGAAACATCTAGCATCTGAAGTCTCGGAAGCTGGAAAATTTGAGCTGGGAATTCTCCCTCTAAATCACATAAACTCAGATGCAACTCTTCCAAGTAAGAGAAACTCGCAAACCAATCAGGTATGGTGGAAGCGAGAGAATTGCCATCCAGGTGGATCTCAGAGAGAGAAACAAGTTTCTGGAGCGACTTGTCAAAGGGACCAGATAGAGAGCACATCTGCAGGCTTACAATAGTAAGGCGAGGAAGCGAAGCTAAGGCTTGGCACCATTGAGAACTCGAGGAAGAAAGATTCAAACGATCAAGCCTGAGCTCCTTCAAGCTCTTTAGGCTTTCAACCAGGGTTTTGAAGTCTGGGTCCTCGAGCTTTAATGGGGTTGAAGAGAGAGAAGAAATCAACGAAGAGGTGGAGAGGTCAAGATGAACAAGTGAGATCAATTCTGAAATTTCCTTTGGTATTTGTCCGGAAAAACCAGAATTGGAGAGGTTGAGATAAACCAACCCTTTTAGCTGCCCAATTGAGGGAGGTATAGAAGAGGAAGAGAAGTTATTAAAGCTCAGATCAAGGTATTCAAGGTGGGTTAAATTGAAGAGAGAAAAACTGATATTACCAGAAATTGGCAGTTGTCCTAAGCCGCTCAGATTAAGTTTTTGGACAAAGCCAGTGAGATTGTTGCAGGCTATGCCTTCCCATTTGCAACAATCTGAGTTGGGTATCCATGACTGAAGCCTTGGAGGAGAGATAATTAGGCCTTGCTTGAACTGGAGAAGTGGGGTGCTCTGATTTTTTGGGCATGGGGCCTGGGCTATGGCTAGAGAGAGAATGGAGAAGCACAAGGCCCATGTCAGGCAGGATAGGTGATTCATTGGAGGATTGGATATGGGGTTAACTGTTTGAGTCCGTTAGGAAGAGAGAGATGCAACTTCCTACATTTAGAGAGAGAGAGATGCAAGTTCCCAACTTCATAGAGAGAGAGAGAGAGAGAGAGAGAGGAGGA